AGAAGATTACTTAACAATTAAATCATTTGAATTAAAAGAAGATTTCTGAACTCATTCTAGCAGTTCAACAAAATGAACACATCGTTATTTACCTTTATTAAATTAGTCTCTCCCAACCTTAATTACTTTAAATATATAAAAAGCCTTTAATAACTCTTTCATTTAATTGAGACATGTAAAAAACATATAATTTATACTTGAAAATTAATAAATCAACAGAAACAGTAACAATATTTAAATTATAAGTTTTAATAGTTTAATAATTTAATTTTTTAATTGAATACAATCATTTATTATATTTTAGAAATATTATTTTAGAAATATTATCTTAGATAATAACTCTAAAAATAATGACAATATATATTATTAATAATAAATAAGAGAGTATAGATAGTATAATTAAATATATAATACTTCAAGTATTATATTATAATTATAACAAGTCTAGAATAGTAATAATAGTATGTTCATAATGTGATCTGCTAAAATGAGATCTGAAATTTATATTGAAAGTGTTTATTAAGGAATATTATATAATAAATATGTAATTTCTTTATAAAATAATAAATATATATTTTTATTAATAAACGAATTTATTATTATATATTTTTAATTGTTATTAATTATTTTTGAGATTCTAAGAACTATAAAATTTTTTATTTATTGATTGACTAATTAATTTTTTTATTAATTGATTAATTAATTTTTACTAACTAAAATATATATTATTTTTATAAATAAATTATAAAAACTAAATATTCAATAAAATTATAAATTGAATTGAATTTTGAATCAAAATTCAAATATAAATTTGAATATAAATTTGAACTGAAATTTGAATTGAATTCAAATAGAAATTTGAATAGAAATTCAAATCAAAATTCAAATCAAAATTCAAATTGAATTTCAAATACTAATTATTAATATAATTGTTTAATAATATAATATTAAAATATTATTCAATTAAATTTATGATATGAGTTAATCAATAAAATAATTAAATTTTCATATTATAATAATATTATAATATTAAATATTTAATTAATATTTAAATATTATTCAAAAATATTTATATATATTCAGAATTAAATAATATTATTATATTATAAAAAGAAATACTTTATTAAAAAAATATTATAATAAATATTATATAATAAAAAAAATATAATGGCAAAAAAATTTATTAATAAAATATAAGATATATTTATTTATATATTTTTTTAATATATATAAAAATTTTTATATACATAATATTTTTTGCTAAAATTTTTAATATTAAATAATATATTTGATTATATAAATTATTTATTTATTATATATTAAAAAAATCTACAATAAAAAATTTATTATTTTAATCTTAATTCTAATTCTAATATATTCTATTTTTATATATTTATAATTTTTTATTATATACTTAATTAAATTTATATCTTTTTATTATATAGTTTTTGAATTTGTTTTTATTTAATTTATTATATAATTAATAATATTAGTTATTTAATCTTGTTAAATTTAAATTATATTTTTATTAATAAATTTTGAAATATTTGCAAGGAAATAAATTATTATTAAAAAAATATAAATATATCTAAATTTTTATTCTAAATATATTTAATTAGTAATTTAAACTAGATTATATAATAAAATTCTGAGATATTTTGTATATAAAATAAATATATATGCAAAAAATATTCTTAAATTTTATTAATACTATCAATTATTATTGAAAAAATACAAATTTATCTAAAATTTTATTTTGAATATATTTATTTAATAATTTAAATAGATTTTCTTAATAAAATTTTGAGATATTGAGTGCACAAAAATAGAAAAATATATGAAAATAGATAAATAAAATATAAAATAGATTTTTTCTTTTTATATAAAAATTTTTTATTTTTATATTAAAATAAAAATAATATTATATATTTTAACATATATCTTTTCAGATTTTTTAGATTTAATTTAACAAATTGTTCTAATTGCAAATAATTAATTTTTATATATTTTAATTATAAAAAAATTATTTATTTTATATGCAATTTATCAAATTAAATCTAAAAATATATTTTAAAATATATAATATTGTTTTTATTTTGATATAAAATAAAAAATATTTATTAATATAATTAAAAACTTTCATATAAAAAGAAAAAATCTATATTTTTTATATTTTTATTATGTTTATTAATAAATTTTTTTGCTGTTACATTCTTTTTTATTGCTACTATATATTAAAATATAACTTATATTAAAACTTTTTTATAAGACAAAAATTTTAATTTTTATTATGTTTTATTAATAAAATTGCACGTGTAATTCCATAATTTTGTTATTGTATATCAATAGAATTTATTTACAATTTTATAACTTACTTATACAAAACTAAGTTTTGAATTTAACTTGTATCAAAAATAATTAACAAGAAACTGTTATTGTCAATCTTGATTTTTGAATTGATTTTTGGTTTCACTAATTTAAAATGTTATATATTACTATTGTTGTCAAAGTAGTAATTTTAAATATTTACAAAAAATAAATTTAAATAGTTTATCATCAAATCCACGATCAAATTTTGTAAATTATTATAATATACATAGGGTGTGGATAAATATACAAAATATCTAAAACCTATACAATAATAAGAGCACCCACGCACATTCACCACATCATGTAATCATCTTATCCCGTATAATCAAAATCAAATAAATAAATAAATAAATAAATAAAAACTAATCACAATAAATCACTAAACTCATCTCCTCCAAAAAGAACATGAGTCATTTCACGAGGCGAAGCTTGCAAATTAATCACAGCTTCATTATTATTATTGATCTTAACACTACTATTATTATATAACACCAATTCATCATCGTCATTCTCTTCTTGTAAAAGATCTAGATCGGAACGACTAAAAATCTCTTCAGTAGGGGACCAAATGTATTCGGGAGATGTTCGAACGATAGTCTCGGTTTGAACTACTAGTGAATCGGCAAGTGATTTTTCTACTGTGTGTACAGTGTCCATTGTTTTCTTTCGTACATTTTTGAGACTATTAAATCATTTTATTAAATCAATTTACACTTGTGTAAGAATATCAGGAACAATTAATTAAAAAATATCTTACGTGTCTGATCTTGTTAATGCCGAGATACTTTTACTAAGATTACCCCAAGCACCAGTACGGAAACTTAATTTTCGTTTTGTTTTCTTTGCGCTATCGTATAACGAATTTTCAATTAATCAATTATTTGGATAATTAAATATAATTATTATTTGCTTACTCTTCGTTCTCTATATTTATACTGATAAGATTATCTTGATTTCTGAAAAATATAAAAAAAAGATTAATTAAAAAGTATTTATACTTGATCAAATGATAAGAATCACACTTACGCGTTAATACCACCATTCTCAATATTTTTGAAGACACTTCCATTTCCTTTATTATCACCGCTATTACCACCACCACCTCTCAACCACCCACTATTCCTCTTGCTCGATCTCTTTGCATCAGCATCATCTTCAGAAATAACAGAAGCAGCAGATCCAACAGACGAAGCAGAAGTTAAACTTGCCGTATCATTCGTATCATTACTACTACTACTATTATTATTACTATTATTATTATGATTATTTTTATTTTTATTTTGATTGCTTTTGCGATTTTCTTTCTCTTGTTCTTTTTTCTTACGAACGATACTCTCCCATCGTTCTCTTAATAATCGTAATTCATCTTCATGTTGTGCTAATTCTTCTTGAAGATCTTTAATTTTTCGTTCTTTTTTCGCGATAAATTGTAACAGTTCTGCTTGTTGCTCGGATTCGGTGGCTGGTGTTATGCGTAAATGTTTGATTGCTATTTCGGTGTGTATCTTGAAGTGGTGAATTGGGATTAGGGTTAGGGTATAATAATATTATTTGATCTTGTATAAGATCTCTTCTATATATGATCAATAAACAACCATATGTACAAGTACAGAAGTTTTTTTATTTGATGTAAAACTTTATTTGATGAAGACACCATTTTCCCACTAAACCTTTGGCAAAAAGATTCTTCTCTACACAAACCTTCAACAAATCATCAGTATCACTATCAGCAACAGAATTATCACTTTTCTTTGTTGCCTCTAACCTTGCATTACTAACAGCAACAACACTCTCTTCTTTATTATTATTACCAATAATTATATTATTATCCGCGCTCATTTTTTTATTTATTAAAAAAAAATGCAATATACGTGTATATAACTGATAGAATTTAGTTCTATTGATTTATTGATTTGATACCAGCTAACTGGATTTAGAGTTTTTTGTGGCATATGATGTTTGTGTTTTTCACGATGGTTGCGTTAATTACTATAACAGGAAAGATTGTGTACGAATCACATTCTTTTCAATAATTGAATAATGTATACACTACCGTCACCGCATTTTGCGAAAAATTTTTTGGCTGGAAATATTCCTAAAATGGTTTATTGTTTATAAAATGATCGCCAACATTGTATTACTCATAAAATTACCCATATTTGATTGGTTGTTAAGAAATTATCACGAGAATAGGTATAATCTGTTTGAATCTTGCGTTAAAAAAAGAAATTTTCGTTGGTAAAAATGATATGATGTAAAAGAGCAGAGATAGTCACGACAAAAAAGTGTCGGGTCATGTGATTCTGATCACATCCTTAAAATCATGCACCAATCAAATTGCAAGACCAATGTATCTTGAAATTTTACTTAACGAAAATGAAAATGTTCCTGCGAAATTTTATTATACATTATGCTCCTATCTGCTATATGCTATATGCTATGCATTATAATTAAGGTCGGCAACGTCACATGACCGACATCTTTTTTGCCATGGCTGACATAAATCAGGTGATTTTATAGAGCATCGCTAACAAATTCACGCTCACGTGAGCGTTATGTGGCGTAAACCAATAAGAACGTCCTGCTGAGTGGCGCAACCCAATAAGGGGATCGGTTAAAGCGTAGTCCATCCGATAATCTGTCCGAAGAACTAACCAATGAGCAAATCCGACACAAGAAAATGAAAAAAAGAGAAAAATGTGAAAAATACAGAAAACAGATGTTAAAATCTGGCTTGAAGCACTAATCAAAAATATCAGAAAGGCAATTTTACATATAATGTTTTTCTCCAATCTATCTTTACGCTAATCCAGACGATAAAATAGCTTTTAATGTTAATTTTCCGTGATCACGTGAGCGTGAATTTTTGTTGGCGACGCTGGGAAGTTAGAGCATCACCCACCTACACACCTGACATATATAGTTATGTTGATCCAAAATAAACCTGATAATTTGGATGACCCACCCAAAAATCAAGTGATTTTCGTCAGGTCCCTAACTACATTATTAAAAAACTTGTCTTCTGCGAATTCGACAATCGTGGGTGGAAATTTGAATTCACATGATTATCTGATAATAACAAATTAGAAATTAAATTCAGCACATGTATTACGCTCACACGACAATTTTATATTTCCCAAAATGGCTAAAATAGAAATATCGAATCTATATATATGTTTCGTCGAGATATGATGCTGGCGATAACATTGGACCGAGATCAGCAATCGGAAAAATTAGCAAACTTAAACGCCGATTGTAGCGCAATTGTATCTTAGATTCTACATGTATACAGTATGATTTTTTTAAAACCATTTTCGAGTGACCTATGGAAGGCAACAAAACATTACACCATCTTAATTTGCTACATAAACAACCCGTGAATCTTTATTTATTTGCGGAAAATAATTGGTTTCTAAAAAAAAATAGGACCAACAAAATATTTTGTAAGAATAAACATGCCATTATTTTAATAATCTAATAATAAAGTTTATTAAATTTGAGTATTGGTTGTGTCACAATTAGTATTTAATTATTGTCAATTAAATAATGAACCAATACTTTTGGCAGACCGGAAAGAATTAGAATTTTTGTACATTCGGGTTCCTTCAAGAAGACTGATAAAAGTGTCTATACGATATCAGAGCTTAAACTCGAGTCAACTCGTTCTGACTCGAGTTAGATTTTTATGACTCGAAGAGTACTCGAGTCAGAATTTGAATTAACTTGAGTCGATTCCATAGTGTGTGCCTGTAATTTACACAGCCTGGCACTTTATACGGCCTCCTAATGTAGTATAGGCCGGAATCACCAGTGCTGGTCAGTCATGTGCACTCGAGTCAACTCGAGCAAAAAAATTCTGACTGGAGTTAAGAATTTATTCGTATATATACAAGTACGAGTCCAAGCACTACGAGACACCAAAATCAGTAATTATACTTGGAATTTCAGTTACATTTTCCATAATTAAGCAAATAATTGGTCAGTTTGAACGCGTAAAAAAAGATAAAGCTTCAAGTATGAATATACACGTAATAATAAACATCCGCCTGATTGAAAGTGCTCTTTCAACAATTGACGATATCAACTAATTGCAGGAACATTTGACGAAAGACTTTGCCGTATCATTATATTTGTAGATATATGATTCGTCGAAAGTCAAACATATCCTTAAATTCAATGTTAGAATTTCTTTATTCTTCATTGATAATTAGGTACGTGGTTTAACTTTGGTTTAAGATAATCTTTGTCTATATTTAATGGGAATATATGATAATATAAAAGTGTGCGAGGTTCTTGAATCGTTAAATAAAAATCACCAGATATAAAATGTGGAAGCGCCATCATGACAATCGTCCAACTTTTTTTATGAAGAGACCAAAACCAATATACCAGACACATAAGTGATTGTTCATTATTCGGAAAGTTTACGATTTCTACTAAGATTATAGATAAACCATTTATATTTTGAGTCCAAACTGTTTTGTTTCTATTTGATTTTGGCATACTTGTCAATACGAGATATTTGAATCCACATAGCAATTCCACTTCTTTCAGATAGAATGGCTCACGCAAGAAATGGAGCACGCGATCAAAATTTTCTAGAATTTTCATCTCCGTTAAACAAAATAAACAAGTATTCATTTTAAACCTTGAAACCTCTAATATTTTTTAAAAAAAAATTGACAACAGATTATTTTAACCATTTTTATGAAACTGAGTTATTTAAATCAAAATTTTCAACAACTTTGTTTCTAAGACAAAACCAAATTTGGACACTAATTAAAAAATGTTTTATTCTATGAATCTACTTACATACCAATTTTCATAAAAATTGGCTCAAATTTAAGATCCTGAAGGTCCAAACCTCTGCTAGCAAACAAATAGTTGAAGTAATGCTCCTAGCAGAGATTCGGAGCTTTGGGATCTTTTGAGCCGATTTTTATGAAAATTGGCACATAGGCGGATTTCGTAGAATAGTCCAACTTAGGATTTGTCTTAGAAAAAAAGTTGTTGAAGGTTTTGATTTAAATAACTCAGTTTCATAAAAATGATCAAAATAATCTGTTGTCAATTTTCTTTAAAAAAATATTAGAGGTTTCAAGGTTTAAAATGAATACTTGTTTATTTTGTTTAACGGAGATGAAAATTTTGATCGCGTGCTCCATTTCTTGCGTGAGCCACTGTGTTTTAAGAGACAACTCCATCGGAATAAACAATACATGATCCTAGCATACTCAGTCAAAACTGACGATATCATGTTTTGAAAATCGCCTACATCTGATTTAATTGCGTTTATGCGATATATTTTTTTTGATGTTTTCTATCAAGTATAAATATCTTGAAATTATCCGAGGCGAATAAATGATTTTGACAAATTGACGAAGCGAAAGTTTCTAATTTTGATAATTTTGAGTACATTTCTAGTCGAACCGAGAAATCTTCTGGCTCAAGGCATGTATTGTTTTTTGTCGCGTCATTCTTATAGATATCGTGTCACTGTTTAAATAAAAATGACCCAATTTCTTAGTTAAAAATATAGTACGTATGGGATTGTTAAGTAGAATTTCTTAGAAGTAACGTACCCCTTACAAATGCTGATCGTTGATACTTTTTATAGATTGGTAAAGCTACAATGAATCGTTCAATTTAGGACATAATATCTCGACGTCTAGTGATCCAATTTGAGTAAAATACCACCATTTGATTGGCCTAAATCAGGAAAATAGGATGGTATTGGTATCGATGAATTTTTCATTAGAAATTGATCGCCAAAAAAATGAATCGATGATATATATATATATATATGTATATCTCGATTTCCAGTGATCCATTTGAATAAAAATAATATATACTATATATATATTTGATAAGACGAAATCGAATGGTATTATTTTTGTTTACTGGAGATCGAGATATATATATATATATATATATATATATATATAATATTTCGACGACCAGTGATCCGATTTGAACAAAAATACTATATATATACCATTTGATTCACCTCGACTGGGCGAATCGAATGGTTGTATATTTGTTCAAATCGGATCACTGAGCGTCAAGAATTAGATTATTGAATATTGAGATGTGTGTTATGAAATAACTGATTACAACATAGGACACACCCGATATAGAAGCTTTACCAATCTATAAAAGGTATCAACAATCAGCATTTGTAATGTTCTTTGTGCTCGGAAAATTTTGGTGCATTACACATGATCTATGGCAAGTTAAGGGGGGGTTACGTTACTACTACGTAATTAGAAATATAATATGGGACTGCGAAAGTAGAAATGAGCCATTTCTTAATTAAAAACATAGTGAATAATCTACTTAAACAGTCACACATTCATTTCTTATTATGTAAGTAAGCATCAACACTTTCAATATTGTTCGAAAAATTCATTACGCCATTTATTTGACCTACACTTCAAGTATTATCGCGAAACACAACTGCACGCGACGCGATTATTATTAGACATCATCACAGAATATTTTCTGAAAAGAAACGTGAATTTAATCTTCGCTTGTTTGTGGCTTAACATTCTAATCGTTAATCCCACAATTCAGTCTAACCTCACTAACAACATGAAAGACACTCATTTTCTGACTATGGATCGATTTCATAGTCAATCATTCGTAAACAAACCTAGCATTCTGCCTGAGCGTGATGAAATTGCATTTTAAAAATGCAATCAGATGTGCGTTCGGTCCTGGTGAGCTAGTAAGATTAAATGTACGTGGAAAAGTAATTGAGAATTGTTCAATGTATTGGTTTTATTTATTTATAAATAAATTGTTGACATTGAATGGTTGTGTTTTCCAACATTTTACTCTGATTGTGAACGAATATCAATTCTTTAAGACTAAATTTTACACTATAATTCACCATCCGAAGCATCTAACAAACCAGCATAAATTAAAGCATTATAAATAGTTCGCGTCTCTTCCAAAATTCTTAATCTCGTGTCATTGTCTAATTGAATACGATCATTATTATTATTATTATTATCAATATCAATATTAATATTATTATTATTATTATTATTATTATTATTATTATTAACTTCATATTTAGGTGGTGAATTTATTAGACCCATTGATTCGGCGTAACTTGGAGGTGGAGAAATATCGAATTCCTCTTCATCCGTAACGTGTAAAATTGTTTGAAGTAGTTGTTGTTGTTCTTGATTGGCAAAAGTACGATGATTGTCGGATTCATTAATATTGTAAGGAGTAGTAATGGTATTGGATGTTACTTCTTGTGTGTTTGGGAAAACTCTATTGGTGGTCGTTGACGGAAGTAAACCAAAAGACATTTTCTTATATACATAGTAAAACATATTTACTACGAGGGAACCCAGTACTACTAAGAAGAATATCGGGTATGCTAAAGATAGCATTCTTTTTCGGTTTTCTAAGAACGAGTAAAATGAAGGTTATAGTTATTTAAAGGAGTGTTTTGAAAGAGTGGAAGAATCAATCACGAAAAAGAATGAAACTCAGTCCATAAATTTATCGATACCCAATGATTAATTAATGCCTATTGTATGAAGAGATGAAAGAGATGAGAAATACAGTTTCACTTATTATATACACGAAGACAAACTTACCATTACTGTTACATATTATGGCTAATTAGTAATCCGTGTAATAGCCCCTGATTCATTCTTTTAATTTACGTATAAAGCTTTATGTTGTCTCTTTTTTTTAGTTATCAAGCACTATTTCGTGTAACGATTTTATCATTCGCACAACAGATGATCAATAAGGAAGCACATCATGCAGCATACTGTCATCGAAACAAATTTTGTATCTTAAAGCTTTATTTCCGAATTATGTATTATTAATCTATAATAATATAATGCGTTCAGCGAAACAAAATTAATGAAATAATATAAGAAAAGGGACCGGAGATTAAATCAGTCTACAAATTTACAAATTAAATGATCTTTTTCTACTGGCGTGACGATGGTGTCTGTGACTCTTCTTTTTACTATGATGATGATCTTTATTATCTTCATCAAGGTCAACAAAAGCAGAAAGTTGAATCTGCTTTCCATTGAGATGTCCATTTGTGCCGTTGCCTTGTGCTATGCCGTCATCAAACTCTTTTTCATTTTTAGCATTATCCTGGGCAATATCTTCTTTGGTGTTTTTGTTTTCTTGATCATCAGAAGCACCATCACCATCAGCATCAACGATAGAGACGAAATCGAAAATATTTCCATTGAAATTTCCATTGAATTCACCGCCACCTTGTCCGTTATTCACTCCATTTTCACCGGGATGGCATTGCTCGAAATCAAATTTTGCGACATCAAATTGACGATCTTTGATTATGAATGTGGTGAATTGAAGAATATTTCCATTGATGTTTCCGTTAAAGAAGCCGCCGCCATTCCCGTTGTTGCTTCCACTGTCTCGTTTCTTGTTGTTTCCATTTAAATTTCCATTATGGTCGCCGGCGCCATTACCATTAAAGTTTCCGTTCACTTCGCCCCCGCCATTACCATTAATGTTTCCGTTATCGTGACCTTGTCCGTTGCCATTGAAATTTCCATTGAAGAAACCACCCCCATTCCCATTTTTGTTTCCGTTATTATGAGCTTTTAAATTTTTTAAATAGGCAGCGCAAAGTTGTTTATGGCTATCGTGTCCTTTTCGTGCAATTATTATTCCTTGACCAACAGAATTTCCATTGAAATTCCCGTTGTATTGACCGCCGCCATTTCCATTGTCGTTTCCATTGTTTCCTGGTTTGTAGTAGATTACATTGGGCGTTGGTTCAGGAGTGATCGTTGATGATGAAGATGACGTTGTGATGGATGTTTTTGCTATTGATGGTTTCGCTGTTGATGTTGATGTGGATGAACTTGTTGATTTTGACGTTGAAACAGAACTTTGTCCGTTGTCATTTCCATTTAAATTTCCATTTTCGTCACCAATATTATTGTTTCCATTGTCGTTTCCATTTTTCTTACCATCACTGTTTCCATTGGAATTCCCATTATATGATCCTAGATTTTCGTTTCCATTATTGTTTCCGTTATCTGAACCGTCTCCATTTCCGTTAAAGTTACCATTATGTGTGCTACTGCTACTACTTTTACTTGGTGATACTTTAGGTGATGCGGTTACTGGTTGTACGTTACTTGGCGTTGGTGATACGGTTATGGTTGGGGTTGGGGTTGGGGTTTGATTAGTTAAAATAGCTATTGAGAGGTAATTTGTTGATGTTTGACCAGAAGTAGCTGAGACGGAAGTCGATGTTGTTGTGTCTATCTGATTATTTTTTTCTTTTACTGGCGCTGCCAGTGTAAATGCAAATGTCAAAAGCGTTGCATAAGTAAATACAATTAGGTATGCTGATTTCCTAGTCATAATTATAGTTGATTCAATGATAATGGAATATGGCTATAAAACAACCAGGATTATGTGACGAGGGACAATTGAGAGAGTGTGTGAGAGGAAGAGAGTGAATATATGCTGATTTATTTTCACCGGCTTTATCTTTTATATTTAAATGAATGATATAATAAAAGATAAATAAAAATTTTCGAGAAAGTTATTCTGGGCTTGCGAAAATATTTTTTCGGTGTTGAGATATTATTCTTTGTGTTTGATGGAGGAGTTGTGTTATGGTGGTGATATTAACATGGAAGGGAAGGGGGGGTGAAGAGAGGAGGTGAAGAAAAGAGTGGTAGTATTGATGCCGAAACGACAACGATGAAAAATGTGTTCTTTTTAGGATAAAAGACCAACAACATCAAATCCACTCATTTTATAGAATTTATGACATGTTGTGATTATAGGTTTATTGTATCGTTACGTATAATTAAAATTCGGAAAATTACAATGGTAATTTCCATAATTTATGCACACACAATATAATGTTCGGCCTATGTGTTATTGTTTTTCGTGCTAGCCGAAAATGGCTTGATTTGGATGTTTCAATCCTATCGCTATATATAGAATATAAACATTATAAGAAGTTTGTTGATATTACTTGTACCTAATTTAGCTAATAATTGATCACATTGTGTGTGTTCCTTTTACACACCAATGGCCTGCAATACACTTTACACACAAATCTTCTCTATGAGGATTTTCATTATCAACTTTGTCCGACATTTCTAGAGGTTCGAAATTGGTGACAATACCGAGACCCTCATTATTATTACGACACTGTTTAGCTTTACACTTTTGCATGCAATAATCACCCTCTTTTAGTTCTTTAGAGTCGTCGATAAATTTTTGAAGAGAAATGTAAGTATGTGCGCTTGTCCATTGTTTCTTGCAATCCGGACATTGTCAGGATCCAAATACTCTATAGTGTTTATTCCACTCTAGACGAAAGATGATCTCGACTTTAAACGTTTTCTATTATCCGAATAAAAGTCATTAGGATAAGTTTGATGCATTTTATGTAATAAACATATTCGCTCACTTTTTTTTCTGCGGCCTGTTGCGTATAAAGATGAAAACTCGAAATAGATTTTTTTCCTCGACATTTTTGTTGAATTTATCGTACAACTTTCTTGGAGTTTGGTCTTGATATTTTTTGAGCAAATCCTGAGAAAATAGTTGATCGTGGGATTCGCACGTTTTTATTTTAGCCGAGTTACATGACCATTTGCCGTAAACCATGTATTTCTTGTTTTGAATTAAAAGACGAATAATTTCCAAAATCTATAGAAATAATTATTAGCGGATACTAAGAAATAGAAATTATTTGCATAAATATGTGTATGCTTACGCTTTGACCACCTTGGGTCTTCCACGGCGAAAACTAATCAAGAAAGATACATTGGATTTTTATCATTAGAATCAGCAATTAATTGCCCGCGAGTAATAACTCAGAAGAGATTATATCTCTGTCTTTCAGAAGCTGTAAAGTGGTTTATTTATAATGGTATATTATTAATAATATAATTAGTGACAAACACACCCATCATCGATTAATATACCGTTTCGCGTTTATTTGACGTGAATATCGATCTTCCGATTTTGTTATGGACAAGAGATAACAAGGTGCCTTTTCTTCTCAACAGAGAATACTGTCATTCTAGATATTTTTGGTTGAGGATTATTATGGTTCTTGTAAATATATTCGAAGGACACATAATAAAGATACAATAATACATCTACCATCGTCTCAATTTCAATAACAGCGAAGATAGAAAGACCAGTTAATCGAAACAAATCTTGTTCTATCATTGTATAATTAAATCTTGTCCCATGACAATGGCTTCACTAAGTGTTCATTCCCATGCCATTTCGTGTGAAATTATCACAAAATGAAAAGATAGAAATCTGATAACAAAGAAATGTAATGATATTTTTGTGTAAACGATAAATTCAAAGAAAACATAGTTTATCCTGCCAATGTATGCATTGTAAAATATATCCATGATATTAGAAATTAATTATTCTGTATCTGATGATTCCGCCTCTATGCAACGAGTATTGGTTTGGCATTTTGCGCATAATTCACTTATATGACGAGGTGTAACGGTAGGTTTTCTTCTTAATATTAAAGGTTCGTACGTCGTAATAATGCTATTATTGTTATCTGATTCAGAGCACCGTTTGCACTTTTGCATGTAGTAATCACCCTGTTTGAATTTAGCTTCTGGAAGCAACTCGAGAATTTTTTGAAGAGAAATCCAAGTATGATAGCTTGTCCAGGTATTTTTACAGTGAGAACATTCCCAATGACCAAATACCTTTTGATGATTTTCAGATTGCCAACGAGGAAAAATTTTGAAACTAGGTTTTTTCTATTATCAATACATCTTTTATGAGAATTGAAGATTAGAAAAAAAAGCCATAGATTAACGATGGAATTTCTTACTTTTGTGTTTGTAGGTCGCTGCTCGTAAAGAAAAAAACTTGAAATCCATCTATTTTTATCACATTCTTTGCATTTCCACTTAAATAATTCACTCAGATTTTTTGGCGCTTCCTTTTGAAAGTTTTTAATTGATTCTTGATCATAATGTTCGGTTTTACATGCCGGCTTCTTATAACATGACCAATTGCCGTAAACTATGAATTTGTTGGTATTATTGAGATGGTTGATGATTTCCAATATCTATAGAAACAATTGGTATTTAGACAACTCTAATGAAGGGCTCGCTTTAGCATACAAAATTCTGTATTATATTGACTTACTCCCTGTGCTCGCTTTTTCTTTTTTTGTTTTCTCTTGTGCCTCTGCTTTTTCTTATCTGACGAAAACTAATATAGAATCAAAATACAGTTGATTATGATATCTTTAACTCAGATAGCCAAAGTTATGTCTATTAATAATACCTCAGCAGATATTTTTTCCTTATCTTTCAAAAGAGGGTATTGCGAAGTGTTCTGTTTATAATTATACTAAATACATAGTCAACATAAATGACAAAAATCAAAGAAATAATCAAATCAATATACCATTTTGCGCGCATATGACGCGAACAACCACCTTTCTAATTTATTATAGACACGAAATACAGGTAACGAAGAGATGTTTTTTCCCCGCTAGAAAGAACTCTCAATGAGATATCGCTTTTCGTAAATAAATAAAATTACAAGTATTAAATATGTACCATCGGTTCAATATTCGATAACATTGATATTTTTTGTCCCATCATGATTATGGGAGAGAAGCAAATTACATGTATATAAGTATAAAGATCTTATTAATTAATTAACAATGTCCCATTATACGTAATGTCATTCATTCCCATAAACATTTTTCAATATGATGAAAATGATGAAGAATGTAGTAATGCTTTAAATTGTATAATATACATGTATCATATTGATTTCTTAAATAAATGTTAATTATTTTGGAGTTTCACGACAAGGAAGATGATCTGGCACTTTGCACATGAACATTTTTATGTTTAGATCCATAGAGGTGGCTTGTAATGCGCAAGTATATTAGCATTCTTTCGTGTAAAATCACCTTATACTTTCGAACCTGAGGTGCAAGTGCGTTTTTTTACAGTTTGAACATTTTTCCAATGGCCGAATACTCTGTAAAAGTTATTCCATACTAAATGATGAGTAAACTCGAGATCGGGCTTTTTTTAATTAGAAATATATTCTTGGTATTCAAATAAAAAATACTCATTGATTTGCCTATGTTCCAAGCAGTTTGAGTTTCCAGTAGTAGCGAAAACTGGAAATCAATTTCTCCCCAATGTATTTGCAACCGTATCTGCAACCGTATCTGCAACCGTATCTGCAACCGTATTTGCAATGCTTGACGAACAAATCTGCATGTCTTTTGGCATTTTCCCAGACACTCTTCGAGTTCTCACGTATCGTATTTTTCTGACCATTCTTCTTTACAGGATAAACATGTCCAATAGCCATAAATTCTTAATATATATAGGAATATTAATATTTAAAAGGCAAGCTTTCTTGAATTTAAAAGTGTTGTAATGAATTAACTTACGTTCTGTGAACATTCACTCTTAATTGATGAGGATACCTAAACGAGAATAAATAATTGTAACAGACCAGTGTGATGCGTATATGAAAGGAAAGTCTAAAACATAAAATGATGTCAATTATGAAATAAAAATAAAGACCAAATACATTTGTTTTTGAAGTCAATTATAGCTTGCATTGTAGTCTTTTTTGAAATTCCACTCCGATGATTTACGTATTTACATTGACCAAAGCACTCGTCGGAAAGGAAGCCTATCAATCAACTATCAGGTTAGAACAATGCAAACTAATTAATTTGTTAACATTCAGCATTTTCCTGATGACGATAATTGGAATTGGGTAAATTTAGATTATCTCTAAAGAATAATACTGGAGGAAGAGGAGGCTATTGTTGTGGAAAAAATCTAATTATAAATTATCAATTTTCCTTGATGGGAATCAAGACATTAAAAAACAATTTTAAAACAAAAGCTTTTTTCTTTCTTCTCGTATATTAATAATTATCAAATGCACAGCTCGCGTAATTATAATCCGTGCTCGGTTCCTGGTCACATTCACATGACAAACCAATAAGCAAGGCTGTCTTTTAGACAAGATTTTGAAAGTTGTGAGTTTTAGACGAGTTGTCTAAAAATATAAAGGAAGAAAATCTAAAACATTCAAAATCTTTATTTAATTGATATAAACTAAGATTTTGCATATTTTTATCTCAAATATTTTTTCTCACGCTGTCTAATTGTCTAAAAGACAGCCTTGCAATAAGGATGCGCAAATTTTTGATCAGCCCGGCAAAACAAATCCGACACAAAAAAAAAGTTAATGTTATTGTGTTTATTTATCGTTCTTTGCAGCAAGCGCCCTTAAGCAGTGTTGTCCAAACTCGTGTACTATTAAAAAATTAAATAAAAAATATATGATTATATACAACGAGAAATTCCAAACATTTTTAATTAGTGTTCAAACAGGTTAATTTAATAAAATTTTGAGTAAATTTGATTTTTTTTTGTCAAAAATGTCCAAAGCTGTGACAACACTGCCCTTAAGCATAGAATATGGAAAGATATTGACATAAAACAACCAGGACTGGGATGATATTAATGGATTAAGGGAGAATATATTTTTCGCTGGTTTTGTCTTTCATATTTAAATGAATGATTTGTAAGAACTTTCGAGAAGACTTATTCCGATCCGATCTTTCAAAAAGAACGTTTTTCGGTGTTGAGAGATATTATGGTGGTGGGAAGAAGAGTGGTGATGATAACTACTCCAGCTCACCCACGATCGATTTTTCCTTCACGTGATTTTTCCGATCCCTGACGATCTCGAAACCAATGAGAATGCGTAAATTTTTGATCAACCCGGCAAAAAATACGGGAAATACATGTACAGTAGATTAACAATAGATGCTTAAACCTAGATTTTAGCACTAATAAAAAATGACGGGAAGACAATTTATGTATAACCTTACTCCAACTCTAACCCTAACCTAACCTTAACCTTTAATAGTGCGAAATGTTTCGGGTAATTGTTGTGGCTTGGAAAATCGGATCATAAAATCACGTGAAGGGAAATCGATCGTGGGTGAGCTGGAGTAGTTGGTGATGATGCAATGTACATTGTGGTGCATGAATTATCGTAAATTTATTTTGCATTACAATGATAATTTCCATAATTTATGCCAACTTAATTTGATACACAAGAAAAGCTGACGCTACATAAACGATTAACCTAACTGATAACGATAATTAATAAAAAATGTAATAAACTATTAAACCTAACTGATAACGATAATAAAAACCGTAAATAAGCCACTAAAAAATAAATTCGCTATAATACACATAGATTACCTCCCATACATTTTGCACATAACTTTGCTATATGAGGCTTTTTTTCAACAAATCCACCCAGACTTTTGTTTAAAGGTTTGTACTGGGTGATAATACCCTCATTACGGCATTTTTTAGTTTTACACTTTTGCACGTAATAATCTTCCTCTTCTAATTTTGATCCTTCGATAAATTTTTGAAGAGAAATGTACGTATGTGCGCTTGCCCATTCTCTGTTGCAATTCTGACATTGCCAAGACCCAAATACTCTATAGTACTTATTCCACTCTAGGCGAAAAATGATCTCGATTTTAAGAGTTTTCTATTATCCGAGTAAAAGTTATTAAAGTTTAATTAAAAGATCAATTCAAAAACGCTTTATATCGATATACACTCATTGATTTGCTTACCTTCCGAGCTCCCGGTCGCAGCATGTGCAAGCAAAAAATGTCAAGCATTTTCTCGTTACCGCACTTTCTGCAATCTTTGGTGAAAAAATCTTCCACATCGTCGTTTGACGGTTTCCGTAACCACTCTTCAAGCTCCTTCTTATTGTATCGTTTTTGCCATGAATGAGAACATGATGAACATGTCCAATTGCCGTAAATTTTTTCACATTTATCACTGCTCAATAAAATTTCAACAATATTCCTCATTTGTAGGAATATTTATTAAGAAAAGCTTTCTTGAATTTAAGTGTGAAATAACCTTTTTATTTATAGTGCCATCACTATTACAAAAAAGTATTCTTTTGGTTCTCACAGGAGTTCTATAAATATAAATATTATTAATGCACTCATACCTTCTCATAATCACACGTTGGAGCGTGATTGCGCGTAGTAATTATACATGTACTATACTGTATCGTACCGATGTATCATACCATAATACTGGTATCATATCAAGTATCGTATACCGTATTACACCTGTATTTTCATTCATTTGTATTGTGGTATAGTAATTCTTGAAAGAAGATTCAGCTTTAAAATTTTGCCAATCAAGTTATATTATTCATTTTTGAGGTACAGAGAACTCACCCTAAGTGCACCCCCTTCGGGAGGGTTTATAGAATATCAGTATATGGATAACCGGATGAGTATGGTTCAGGAAAAAGCTTAACATGTACTACCAGTATAACGATAACACATACTACTGGTAGGATTATAGCATAATGATAAACTGTACTATACTGTACTGTCTTGATTTTTACACTGCACTATTGCTACATAAATCTTTTAAATTAACCTATATTCCGAACCCTAACTTTTTTCCAATACAGTCATGTAGTTTCCTCTATACAGTCTATTACTGTACGTGATGCATACCATATTGATCTGGTTATCCATACCATACTGATATTCGCATTACCTCCCTCGGGACCATATGAAAAACAAGACATTTAGGGAGGGGTGTACATTTATGGATAATAAATAATTAGAAATCATATATACGCGGGACTGAGCCAGAGTGTGCATTTAGGGCGAGTTCTCTGTATATTAATTTGGGATTTCAGCCTTTGTGTGATTCGGCATTTTTAGTTTGAGTAACACGCCTAATCACAACCCTAATTGCGTGGAGGTGTTTTTATATAAGATTTACTTATACGTAATCACATTATGTACTATTAAAAATCGAATAAAAAGTATAACGATAAGGACACTGGTATTGTACAAAACACTTTCATGGAGGTCCGAAAGATCTTGTCGAAATATGGTATTATGTAGTTAGGAATTATATAAATAAGTTAACATGTTCTAGGCATTGCGATATCCATAAACTATTTTTCACCGGCCAAACAGATTAACAAATACTGCTTGCCATTCAATGCGAAACGAGGTTAGCGCGCATCATCCCACAAACCCCGCATAAACATTCTTATTTTTTTTAGCGAAATGACAGAGAGAAATTCTTTATTAAAATAAACGTACTAAAATAAAGCACGTAGAAGTAAACTACAAAGTACTCCTAAATCAACCCATGCTATTATAAACGATTTTCATCTACTTGTAAGGTATCGACGAAGTTTGACCAATACTTCCAGAACTGCCCGGTTCTGTAATATCCAGACCAGACAGCTTGCTATTTTCTCCCGGCCACCTTTGAATCACAACTGATTCCTTTTGTGAGAAACCCCGACTAAGCTCTCTCCAATATGCTACGGCCTTGTAAAATGTAATATACGTAGAGATAACGCGAATGGCAAATATGGTCTGATCTACAAGTTTGTCATTTATATTTTCATTTCCACAAGCGAGTTTCTCAGCGTTTCCCCGAAATCAATCGTTGAAACAACGTTCCCCAGAAGCTTATCCTGTAAGAAAAAGGTTTTTGAGTCGATAAAATATGGGCTCGTCAAGCAATTAAAAATACACAGATCTCTACAACCACAACAGTAATGTCTTCATTATTAATTATAAATTTAGGTATATTGCTACCACACCAATGTATAGTTTGCAGGGCGTTGGTTCTAGGTTTGGATGTAATGCAGACTTTAAGAAATCATTGAAGTACATCACAAACAAGAGATATTACCATCGTTACTCACATAACCTCACATAACCTCACATCAAAGTTGACAACGTGATATAGCAGTTTGGTTAACAATGAGTCGGTCATAGCTTTACTTGTACCTATATCGACACTCATGTTCTTGACGACATCGTGCAGTTTCTTGATGAATGCTTTGACGACAGTATCCGAAATTTCGCCAAACTTGCGAACATTAAAATTTTTGTCTCCCAGTGTGGTGCTATTGATGTTAGGAGAATATATTGTTTCGGAAAGTCGGTGATTAAATAATATTTAAATTGCAAGTATTGGGTTCGCTAAGAGGACTGTTGACAGTGTGTACCCTCAACTCTAGGAATGACGCGGTCCTCGGATTAGAGCCGGTTGGAAGCTCACTCTCAGTGCATTCATATCTTCTATCTTGGTTTTGGAGAGTATGTGATGTAGGACGAAAAAAGAGATATGGACATGATAATCAGCACATGCCCGAGTTTTCTTTGTTAGAGATAAATTATCAACTCATCCCTTAATATGAATAATCGATACCATGACCGAGTACATTAAGAAACTCGCAAACAATGAAAACGAAAGAAAGAGTGCAAACGGAATGAAGAATGAAGAGAACAATAAAGGGAGAAAGCATGCAAAAACAAAGGAATTTTTTATTCTGACGAGTTGATCACAAAAATAGCATATCGATATAGCTAATCCTATTGATTTTGCATAGGACGACTGGCTATTTCGAAAGATTATGAGATTAGTCATGAGATAAAAATACGCGATTCATTTTTTGGGATATTTTGTGAGTGATTGAAGTTTTAACAGAGTAAAAAATCGGGATCGAAAAAATCTTATCCAGCACCAACTTAGAATAATGCAGTCTTAACCTTAATCCCCTTATTATACGTAAAAGAAATATTCAAGAACGTATGCGTCTTATATGTCTGGGCGTATGGTACGAATGAAACTTCGCCAATACTCAAATCCTGCCCTCTGAAAAAATGACCTTGCCAATTATCCATCACATTTATTGCCGCACCTATATTACAGAGATTATACGGATGAGTGATAACCTTGGTATATCGGAAATACCCAGATGGATCCATAAACTCTCCAGTCTTCGTTATCATTTCCTGTGAAATGATCAACGTCTCGCGACGAGACCTACTATCATATTCGTTAATATGTGCGCCAAAGACTTCTGTGATCCAATTCACCGAAGTCATTGCGTGAACCGTATCGTTTCCCGAACATGCTCGAAGCAACTTGTGAAAATCGTGTGCGTGAAAGTAATCGCAAATATTGCTCCAGGACATCGTCCATGGATCTAATTGACGAATCGAGGCTAGTAGCGTAGAATTATCATTGGTAACGGATTGAAAATGTAGATAAATTTCTATCTTTTCACTTTTTCCCGCAGGTGGTGATAACCAAGCGCAAACTTCTGTGATTGATTCTTCAAGGAAATTGTAGATTGCATTCAGGAAGGTGGTGTCTTCACGTTGGTACTTAGGTAGAATGGAATCCATTGGTAACATTTCGAGCATAAATTCGCTTGTTGAATGTGGTGAAATTCCGTTATTGCAATTGAACATTGTAATGCTTGCAATTAGATTTTTTGGTTGTTGATCGTCCATGAGCGGAAACTCGCCAGTAAGAATATAGCGTGCAGCAACAACACAAAACACATTATCTTCTGAATCAAAAGTTTTTGCCCAGAGTCTGTGTGCTTCTTGCCGAGATTTTGGTGATTTGACAGACTCACTCCAATGAGAAATTAACGATCGAACTTTTGGATGAAGCTCTTTTTTTGTGGGGTTAGGCGGACTGTCATTTGGCGCATTTCCAAATTTCAAGACGTTCTTGACAGCATTCTCAAAGTGTTTTAAAGTCTCCATTGTCCATGTGGTAGAAAACCAAACTTCTATGATCGACCGAATTGGTGCCTTTCCCATCATCATTTCTTTAATCACATTGGTTTTCGCTATAGCGTAAACAGATCCGTCGTAACCAATGAATTTGTTTGGTTGTTTTACAGAATTTTCGGTTTGCACAATTTTAGCTCGTAAAAGTAAATCCAAGTCTACAAACCCAACAGCAACATGAACTTTTCCTTGGTCAAGTACTAAGCCTTGCTTTGGCGTGTTACTAAAGCTTAAAGCACCCATGCCTTTGTCTCCAACATATGAACTTTTTGTTTTTCTAGTGAAAATGTCACCAATTTGCCTTGGAGATGCAAGAAAATTCAAAAGTGGTCTTGACAATTCACCCCATCTTTTCATCAAGTATCCGGGATCAGGTTTGTTAGCAAAATCACTGTCTATGAAGTTTTCGACCATTTGATGACGTTTTAACGATGATTTAGCAGATTCAAGAAGCTGAATTTGCTTCTTTTCATGTGGATATTTCATAGCATATTCTCGTCCAAAATCAGGTACATCCCAATTCACGCTAGGAGATGAATCGGTTGGCAAATTTGGCATAGCAACTTCGGTTCTATCGATAGTTTCGTTGGTTTTGACCACCGGTGAGTTACCGCACGACTTTTTATGCTTTTTCCAGTCTTCTTTTTGACATTCTTTAGAGCAGTAATATACCCAATGGCATCTTGCACATTGGCTATTGGAAGGTTTCTGGCATACGTTGCATTTATTCATTATGTATAAAGTAGAAATTTTGTTAAGTGAACAAGTTGAAAGAGATAACGCCGTTTCACATCAATACATGTATTAAATGGTTTTAATATTACTAATGAAAATTCGATAACGATGACCAAATTAAATTACTGTATTCGTTTTTCAAACACATCGCTTTATTTAGAAATATATACTCAATAATGAATGATTTTTTATTATATTTTCTTCCGAAGTGGGATATCGCTAACCGAGTCAGGAAGCCGTTGCCTAACTTCTTCATTTACTAGTGCCTAAACCAGATTTTTGAAAAATTTGTTAAACCAATAATATTATGATATTTACTGTTACTGCTATCAATTGTGTTTAATATCAATAAATATGAAAAAAAAGAAAACTAAGAAGAAAAACAAATCAAAAAGTACGTGAAAAAACACGTAGTATATATCAACAATCAAAAATATAATTATCGGTATATCTGTCACGTTGTTGCCTTCGTTTCGGACGATAGCCAAAGTATTGACCAGTTTCACGACAAGGACGATTATTCTTGCACTTTAAACATAAATCTCTTTTATGTTGAGATCCATTCTCCGACAATACAAGAGGTTCGTAACCCGTAATACGGCACTTTATATCCTCATCCTTGATCATTTTGCTACAACGATTGCATTTTTCCATGTAAAAATCATCGTTTGCTTTTAAATCAATTCCTAAAGCTGAATCAATAAATTTTTCAAGTGATATCCAAGTGTAAGCGCTTCTCCACCACCTCCTACAGTGTGAACATTCCCATTTTCCGAACACTCTGTAATACTTTTCATATATTAAATGACAAATAATCTCGACATCGGGCTTTTCCTAATTAGAAATAATTTTTTTGTATTTAATAAAGATTACTTCAATAATAAAGCACTCATTGCTTTGCTTACATTCCGAACATTTTGAATTCTTCGTGGCAGAATGTATAAGCGAAAACTGGAAATCATCTTATTAGCAGAGCAATTTTCGCAACGTTTGGTGAAAAAGCTCCTCATATCTTTTGTCGTTTTCTTTACACACTTTTCAAGTTCTATCTTATTGTATTCTTGTTGCCATTCTTCTTCACAACATGCCCAATTGCCGTAAATTTTATATTTATTGGTAACCAATAACTCTTTAATGATCTTCTTGATCTATAAGAATATTAATATTTAAAAAGGAAAGCTTTCTTGAATATGTATATTGTAGTGAATTAACTTACATTGCGTGTATATTCACTCTCAATTGACGACGAGTTTTGTGTATATTCACTCTCAATTAACGACGAGGATACCTAAACGAGAAATTTGATACAATAAATAATTGTAATAGACCAGTTTGATCTGTATATGAAAAATAAAAGGTACCTCATGTGAAAGGGTACTCTTTAAAAAAAATAAAATGATGTCAATTGCGAAATAAAATACTAAATACATATATGTTTTGAAATCAATTATAGCTTACATTGTGCTCTTTTTTAAAAGTTTGCGCCGATGATGATGTATTTACATAGACCAAAGCATTCTGTCACAATCAAATTTTTAAACTGATTAAATCAGGCAAACCAATTCTCGAGTATATAAATGATCAAAAATACCGCATAGTTTAATTTCATCGGAGAGGAAACCTATACGTAATCAAAATGATTTCAACTATCATGTTAAAACAATGCAAAATGATTATTTGTTAACCTTCACCATTTTTCCTGATGACGATGAGGATGTATTTGAACTCTATAAATCATGTGGGAATTGTGCAAATTAAATTATCTCTAAGAATAATATTAAGAAAAAATTCTTTCACTTACAGGAAGAGCAGGATATTGTCGTGCATCTTCATCCGAGGAAGTCTAATTATAAATTAAGACGATTATTCAATGGGAAATCAAAAGAAATATCTAGAAATCAATATACCTTTTTCTTCGAGTCATTTTCTTTGAAATCTTTCTGTTGATTGTAATTAGAAAGAGGATCGATTTGATTGGCTTGATTGGCTAGATATTGATATTGGTAATAATCAGAAAAGAAATAGGGCCGTTCATTCTAGTAATTAAAGAGAAAGTAACCTTTTATTTATAGTGATGGTGCTAGAAGGCGATAATATAAAAAGTTATATTGAATATATATACAGTAGCGTTCACGAAACTTAATTTATCTATTCCTTTCGACAAATCATTAATCTCGTCGTCAATTTGAAAAGCCGAACTTTTGTTCTCACGGGATTTCTATAAATATAAAGATTAATATAATGAACGAATCATAATGTATACCCTTTAAACTTTTTTCTTTCTTCACGTATAAATTAATATACTTTATTAAATGTATACAGTATGCTCGCTTTACACATTAAAAAAATAATAATAAAATGATTGAATATATGCCTCATTTTCATCTCCTGTTGAAGTGAAAGATACTGTTTGCCCCATTATCAACAGACTATAATAAAGAGAAAGAAACTACAATTACTGTAGACGATATTTCAATAACGTGAAGTCCAAACACAAGCCAGTTTGTTTATAGAATAAGCTTGTTTTTCTGCCATTTGTGTGCAATTTGTATAACGAGTAATAACCAAATCTGATCAATTATAGTTTTTGTAATTTACACAGGAAAAAAAGGGTTGGTATTTCTACCTGTGTTATGACATAATCATTTTCAACAAATAAAATTTAAATATAATTCCATAATTTGGACCAAATAATATTTTAGTTTTGCCCAGAATTATTGTGGTAAATTTCATTTGATCATATATTAAAAGCCAAGTTTAAAAGATCTTGTCGTGAATTTTAGCTTGCACAGGTCGGTACACTAGTGGTTTTTTGGTGAACCTCCAGAGGAATTTCGGATTTCCTAGTGATTTTGTCGAGGTTTATCTCCTGAATTATTAGAAAACCATTAAAAAATCCGTAATTCCTTTAGAGGTTCACCAAAAAAACCACTAGTTTATCAACCCTTTTCTTGTGATGTTAAATTAGTGTTATTTTTACGTGTAATGTTAAATTATAATATCCAGACAAACCCCCTAAATGCACCCTCTATAAGTGCACACACTCTCTAAATGCACAGCATGGTTGGGTCCCAGCTCATAAGAGCTCTATATAGTTTGCCCTCTACAAATGCACACCCCCTCTAAGTACACGCTTTATTATAGTCCAAAGGGGGGGGGGGGAGGTTTATAATTGTTAAACTTTAAGTAAACCGATATAATTTGAAAACCAATATAAACTTAAGGTCAACATTATGTAAATGCGTTAGTTTATCACAAAGTTTACCTTGGTAAACTTTGAATAGAATTGGATACTTTAAGTAACCGCGCGTTAGTTTATTACAAGGTTGACACGTATTAAACCTTTACCCTTTTACCTGTGAAAGATAGCCACTTTGACATTTTGCGCATATCTTTTTACAACGTCCAACCAGGAGAAGCTGATTTAATGAATCCAGGATTACCATCCGATTTTATAAGAACTTGGCATGTGAAAATCACTAATAGTTGATTTAGATGGTTGAATCGATATCGATATACAGTCAAACCTCTCTATAGTCACACCCCTCCATAGTCACCCTATTTTGCTTTCTCATTTATATATAAACATACGTAGTAAAAAAACCCCCTCTATAGTCACATTCCCTTTATAGTCACCAAATTTTGCTTTCCTGAAGGTGGTGACTATAGAGAGGTTTGACTGTATTTTCGTAGTAACATCCAAGTATAGTCATTAACCATGATCTATTGCAACGTGAACATCTCCACAACCGAATTATTATTTCGAAGATATGGACCAAGTGCAATAAAAACGGTGTCAATTGTATTATAAATTCTAATACAATTTACAACGTTTCTATTGCACTCGACCCATAATATGTTTACATGTAAATAATTTACTTGCATTTTGTTTTGTGGGGGTTCTCAGTGAAAAGACGAAAACTAGAGATCCATTTCTCTTCTTTTCATCGCAATTATTACAATGCTTTCTAAAACATTCACGGATTTCTTTAGACACTTTTCAAGTATCACCTTATCATTTGCCATTACTGTTATAATTCATGATATGTGCCAATTATAAATATAATAAATAACTGCCTTTGACTCTTCTCCCGTCAATACTTTTGCCCCATTACTAGATAAAAGAGATTACGTATTCATTTTATATCGGATATTTGAGATGCCACTCCCTAGAAAGGGAAAAGTTGTTTTCTTATTGATGACGCACATTTCTCGTTGACACACATATCGCGCGCTATTTTTTTAAATGGAAATATCATTATTACCGTTACTGTATTTACAAAAATGTTATACTCATTACAAGAAATAAAAAATTAGAGTTACATTTTCATGACTTATTTATTCAATTTTTTGAGTCGCAATTCTAAAAATTCAAAGAAAACTTGAATTAATCAACCGAGATGCAAGAATGAAATAAAGAAACAAAAATACCTAATTCCTTGGAGTAATCATCTAATTCTATGGTCACTTTTTCCAAATAATCAACTTGCTCGCAAATTTCATCAATTTGTTGAACATAAGGTTCAAAATCAATGTCTAATCGAGATAAAAGGTTATAACAGTAAACTTTATAAATATGGAAGAACAAATAGCAAATACGTACAAATTCTTTGTAATTTTGACATTTCAACCATTAAATTTTGTGCCATGCTAGACATCTCTTTATATCGATCACGTGTAACATGATTCATGTCTTCCAATAATTTGAAATCTTCGGTGGTTGCTATATGAAGAGGATATATCGAATTAACATAAGCTTTCATTAATTAGAAATTTCAATTAAAATATTCACCCAACATTTCGGCTTTCAAGTAATTTGCCACTTTAGCAAACATTTCTTCAGTGAGTTTATTGACATCTTTTGCTTTGCTAGACTCTTCTATACTGCTAGAGGAACCTCGAGTAGCTGCTATTTCTGAATGAATTGCAGTATGGGTAGCTATTGTACTTCGACGTGCACGTGTAGGTGTTGCAGGCTGTTGTTGCTGCTGCTTCTGAAATGTATTAGAGTTAGAAATGGGAGGTGAAATGGAACTTGTTAATGGTAAGACACTTGAAGTTAGAAAGGATAAAGTAGAAGAAAGTGCTGAAGTGGTCGAAGCAAGAGTAGATGAGGGAGTCACACTAGTCGCTGGTGTATGGGCAGTTGGATCTGTGTCTGTATCTGTATCTGGATTCGGTGTCGACATTATAATTATATTGATAATATTTAGTGAAGTAGTGAAAGACTGAAAAACTATATCGACATATTTATTATTGGTCAATTAATAATTTTGTCATCACATCCAATAAATAAAGGTCTCGTGAGATGATTCTATATAATTTTTTCTACTAAATTGAATATATCCAAATTCCGACTCTTTAGAATTCACATTCATGGGACATAGCTCGCTAAATACAAAAAAAAAAGATGAAAGAATTAGTATCATCAAGTTTTTCTCTCTTTAAATAGTAATATTTCATTCGCATCACGTACAATGATATTTGGTAAGTGTCAGAGCAGAAGCTTTAGCATCATAGAATAATTCATCCACTTCTTTGATATCTTCCAAGAGGATTTGTTCACGACCATGTGTACGTGCAAGTATACTTGCAGGTGTGAGGAGTTGTATCACGTAACTTTTCAAAGAAAACACTTGTTATTAATACAAAATACAAACAAAAATTATAACAATAAAATTTCAGTTAATCTTACCGCAAAGATGTTTTTTCTCCTGTCACTGCCATGTCATTTAAAACATCATCTGTTAATGTAAGTCCTTCAATCTTTGCGCGTATTTGAACAATCGCCTTTATATCCTCCTGTGTGTATGGTAACGTCCGGATAATTAGAATGCGATCGAGTAAATCAATAGGGATACCATGAGGTGCGATAATATCTTCTGTTCCCCTAATAAAAACAATTTATAATTTAAAACCAGTCATAAAAAGCCTTGATAATAATATTATTCGACCTACCTGATTTGACACATGCCACGATTTGTTGCAAAAATAACTATTGGTGATATAGGAGATTCAAGAGCCTTATTTAAATAAGTGAAGCATTCAATATCAAGCAAATGAACCTTGATCAAGAAAATTGAGTAGAGTTTAGCGTTCAACTCGTATTAAAAAAATACGCGAATTTAAAAGAAAACAATATTAAACCTCATCAATAAATAAAACTCCTGGCACTAATTCCGCTATACCCTGATCGATATACTTATTGACAACTTTATTGATTTCTTTTCGAAGCTTATCAGTAATTTCGGTCTTTTTCGGTTTCATTAATTGACCCATCATTGACATTATATCTTGCCCTCCCTAATGAATAAAATTTACTGAATGTATTAGTAATATAATCAATCGGTTAGCTCAGATAAAAATCTACAAATTCTCTTACTTGAGGTCGTGCATTCGCAATATCCAAATCATGTAGAGAAACATCCTGGACAACTTCTTTCTTTTTGTGAACTTCACCTTTCGGTAAAGGAACGTATTCCTCTGCTTCCAGATCAAATTCTGTAGCGTAAGCATCTGACCGACCAACGCGCTAAAAGTGATCATATTAATATCATTTCTCATTAAACAGAGATTTGACTAGTCACAAATCTGAGGTAATAGTACTTACTTTCACTGCACCCGTATTAGCCTCAACGTATATGACATCTCCAACGGTAACTCGTTCCTTCTGTATACTCTCAAAGATACTTGGATCCAATTTCAGTTGCTTTGTGCCTTTAACAGTCTTTAATCCGATAATTACATGGGCCAGGGTTTTTCCATATCCACCCAATGGATTTTCTATTTCCTCCGGAGTGAGTTCAGTCACTTCGCCCTCATACACTTCCTTTGTTTCTTTTATTCGTAAACCTATTTATCATAATTGAGAAACAAGGTAAATTCAATCATTCTCTGATAGAGATCCTTATGTCACTTTTAAATTTCACTAACCTATAGCTCTCCGAAAGTTTTCCATAAGAACCTCGGTCTTTTTTACTTCAGAAGAGTACACTTCACTTCCCACCATTGGACAAAAAGGAACCTTAGGGCCAAGCTCTTGAGATATTGCAAGTGCTATAGCGGTTTTCCCTGTTCCTGGGGCACCAGTAAGAAGTAATGCACGTCCAGCCATTTTCTTGCTCTTTATCAGGTCAACAAGTATACCGCATGCCTTTAATATAAAGGAGAAAAACTCAAAAATTAAGCATTGCTTTAATTTTCACGCGACAAAGCGCATAAACTTTTTTATACCTCTCTAGCAGAGTCTTGCCCAACAAAGCCATCAGCTTGGGCATGTGCTCTACCATCGTCACGTAGTCCAAGACCTTTGATATGTGTGTGTGATGCGATTCGTTGTTCGCGTGTTGTACTTTTTACTTCTGATATTCTCATTTTTAACAAATTTCTTGAGCTATCCTTTCCAATTTGATTTTATCAACTTATATTACGTCATAAATATCTTCAACGTTTAGCGTTAGTAATTTTGATAAAATGACTTTTTTTACCACGTAAGTAGTATATTAAAAAAAAAACATTTTTATTATTTATTTATTTTTATAATCATTTTCGTGTGTAGGAATAATCCAATTCAAAAGGATCTAAGTAAGAAGTATTTTAAATAAATTAAGAGACACTATGAAATTATCAACTAATCTTTATTGATCAGAGGAAGCGAGCGAACAACTTCAACAGCAAATCTCGAATGCCTCAAATTATCAATTATCTCAAGTCAATCAATCAATTTCGCAAGTCAGTGCTGGAATGATCAAAGTGCAAAAATCTCTTGAGGTGACTAAACCACCCGTACGAGTGATTATTTCTGAATAATTGAACATTTTCTAATTAATTATTATTTCCTCCCCAATAAGGAAACGCGAGGCAATATAAAATCACTAGAAAGAGAATTAAAATCCTTTAAAGAACATGCAATGAAATTCGATTCCAGTTTTGTTCCCTTAGTTACTTTACCTAAAGAAGAGTGGCCTTCTGCTAAATATGTAGCTAAATAAATATTTGATTGGAGATATCTTCAATATTTATATTTATACATGCAGGATATATGCAAGATCTACCAAATAAATAGATTTTCTTCAACTTCACTTTGAAACATTTCCTATTATTTCCCCCCATCGTCACCATCATGCCTACCAATATCGAGGTTGAATCGTTAAAAGCCAAATATGCTGCCGCTGGGCAAGGACATCTTTTTACCTTTTATGATGAACTTGATCCAGAAGAGCAAAATTCGTTATTTGACCAATTATCAAAACTTGATGTTGAACGCGTCAACCGTATTTTTAGAAAAGCCGTTTCAGGCACCGAAACGGTCTCCTCATCGCAACAAGCTAGTCTTGAACCTTTACCAGAGGAAGTATTTGACTCGGTTTTGAGTGCGGACGAAGTGAAAATAAAAGATTGGGAGTCGTTAGGCTTACAATTGATTGCTGAAAATAAAGTAGCCGTCATATTAATGGCTGGCGGTCAGGGTACTCGTTTAGGTTCGAGTGCACCAAAAGGTTGTTATGATATTCGTTTGCCTTCGGCAAAGTCACTATTTCAACTTCAGGCAGAACGCATCCTAAGACTTCAAAAGTACGCCCAGGAAATTACTAAAACCACTTCAAAGGTGGTTATACCTTGGTATGTTATGACCAGTGGCCCAACAAGATCAGCCACTGAATCTTTCTTTAAGGAACATAATTTCTTTGGACTTCAAGAAGAGAATGTGATCTTTTTTGAGCAAGGTAACGACCAAAATATTTGAATATTATAATCATATAAATTACATTCTGATTTGATCATTGTCTTTTTTTTAAAAAAATGAAAAGGTACTTTACCCGCTTTAACTAACGATGGTAAAATATTTTTGGAGAACAAATCAAAAGTGAGTTTTCGATTCTGTTTTACTGTGTATAAATAAAAAATCTAGTATTGATGCAAAAAATTCAATTTCTTATGATTAGCTTGCCATCGCTCCCGATGGTAATGGTGGAATTTATGCAGCATTACGTTATGAAGGCATATTAAATTCATTGAAAACACGTAATATCTCATACGTTCACGCTTATTGCGTCGATAACTGTTTGGTTCGTGTTGCTGATCCGATATTTATCGGTCATTGCGTTTCCAAGAATGCTGATTGTGGAGCAAAGGTTGTTGGTAAATCATCTCCTGACGAGCCTGTAGGTGTGATTGCTATCAGAAATGGGAAATTTAACGTGGTAGAATATAGTGAAATTGATCTTACCATCGCTTCTACTACAACCGCCAATGGTCAATTGGCTTATCGTGCCGCGAACATTGCGAATCATTTTTACACTGTCGATTTCCTTAATCGTGTCGAATCCTTTGAGAATGAACTCGAATATCATATTGCGAAAAAGAAAATCAAGCATATCGATGTTACCACCGGTGAATTGGTCTCACCTAGTAAACCCAACGGAATGAAACTTGAGTTATTTGTGTTTGATGTGTTTCCATTCACAGAAAATATGGCAGTTTTCGAAGTCGATCGAAAAGAAGAATTTTCTCCACTTAAAAATGCCCCGGGCACCGGCGTTGATGATCCGGAAACTAGCCGACGCGACATTATCAGTCAACATATCCGATTTGTCGAGCGCGCTGGTGGCAAAGTTATTGCTGGTGACGGGGAATCTTCGACAGATCTAATGAACTTTGAGATCTCACCGTTGGTTTCATATGCTGGTGAAGGATTGGACGGGTTAAAAGGCAAAACATTCCGTACTCCCGCTGTTATCGAGACAGTGGCTGATATTGGCAAATTAATTCATTAATAACACAAAAGGAAAAAAAGTACCATTGAACTTTTTTAATTTTTCCAAAAAATTTTGGATTTTTATTTATTTAAAAAGGCGAAAGGCGCATTATGCGTAGCTTTATTTATTTAGTTTTTATAGAGTTTTCTATTTTTGATTTTACTTTTTATTTAATTTTTTTCAATGAATTATGAAATTTACTATTATTAAAATACAACCTTTTTGGTACTATAATACATGTAAATCATCACGCTTATAATTTTACCAGTGACATGTAAATCCCGTGATACAACAGAATTTAAATTTCCACCAACATAAAAATTTTAGCACCAAAAATGGCACAACCAACATTATACCCACTCTACAAAGAAATATTTCCACCAACGGTGGTAGAACATGTAATATGTGCGAACTTCACAGGAACAAACGATAAAAACTTGATAGTGGCGAAAGCATCTGTATTGCAAATTTATAAATTCGTTGAAGACGATTTTGTTGTTGTAACGGGCGGTGATAGTGAAGGTGTTAGCAGTAGTAGTAGCAATGAGGGTGTTGGTGATAAGAGTGGTGACGTTGAAAGTGGTGCTGCTGCTGCTAGTGACTCTGTGGCTCCTCATGTTTCTTCTGAAGCAGCTACTGCTGCTGCTTCTCAAGAAGATATGGAGGAGGTAAAAGAAAATGAAATGATACAGCAAAATATTAAAAATAATAATGACAACGAGAAGAAGGAAAAAGAGAACGAGGTATGAAAAGAATAGCAGTGAATTTAAAGTTTTAAGATAGCATTCGGAAATAGATCTTGTATATTTTTGTATAGCATTATATAAATTTTTCCTATTTAACAATACCGTAATTCGCAGTGCAAAATACTCCGGGTCTCTTACATTCCATGGGATGGTATACTATGAAGGGGGTATTTTGCATTGTGAATTACAGTAATTACCCTATAATCAACCAAAGGAGTGGCGTGAAGTTAATCTTTGATCTTTGGCTTTCTAAAAGGATATAGTTTTGTTCTCTTTTATTTATTATAGATAGGTTTATTTGACCAAAAAATAAGATAATAATAGTAAAGTGTAAATAACAATTCAAATTCATCAAATAATAAAAAGCAATTTTTAACAACAAAACAAACTATTACAAATTGATCGATTCACATTTTTTAGTATTTTTCGTTGCAACTGTTATATTTTTGTTTCTGGTTCTCTTTATTGACGCATACGCGCGTAATCCTTTTTTTGCAGGGTCATGTGTCTAATACTGTTACTACTGTTCCTCAGTCGAAATCTACCATGATATCGATGAACGCGCATCTGGAGCTTATTACACAGTATAAACTTCATGGTAATATTGCTTCTATGGGAATCGTGAAAACAATAACGTCGGCGGCAAAAGGATTGGATAGTCTGATTTTGAGTTTCAAAGATGCAAAGGTTAAGTAAGAAGAGATATTTGAATTTTTTTCTGATTCTGTGTATCAAAGTCTATAATAGATTTTAGTTTTTTGATACGCGTTTATTTTTACTGTTGAATTTTATTTTAATTAGATGTCGTTGTTAGAATTTTCGTTGGCTACTAATAGCGTGGTCACTGTCTCTATACATTATTATGAAAGAGATGAACTTAAGGTAATCTATTATTATTTAACTAGTTGATCAAATCGAATAATATTTTATACAAATGAATAATAATATATTATATTATAAATAGCGCGAATTCCTATCCAATCCATGTCCAACGGAACTTCGTATTGACCCATCAAATCGTTGTGCTATACTAAATTTCTATTGTGATCGATTAGCAATTCTTCCTTTTCGACAGGAAGAATCTTTGCATTTAGATGAAGAAGAAGTAGCAAGGTGAGAAAATAATGTGCAAGAATCGCGATCATTAAGTCACTGTGAGAATGAAAGATAGTGATTGATTATTCGTGTAGTAAGTGGCCGTATCTACCTAGTTTTGTGGTGGATCTGACGACAATACATCCGAGGCTCAAGAATATGATCGATATGGAATTCTTGAATGATTATTATGAACCAACTTTAGCTATTCTTTTTGAGCCCATTCAAACTTGGCCAGGGTACGAAAATTATTTTTCTGTTAATTAATTATCGCATTATTATGATCTAATTGCTAATTCTAATTGATTGACTTTCTCAATATACTAACAGGAAATTATTATCAAAAAAAGATTCATGTTCTTTGGTGGTAGTCTCAATAGATCTTTCACAAAAACTATACCCAATAATCTATTCGATGGACAAACTACCACATTCCTGTGTGAAATTAGTCCCGATTCCGAAACCAGTTGGTGGAATACTAATAATAACAGCAAACTCATTAATTCACGTGAATCAAACTTCGCTATTTGGAGTTTCCGTGAACGGATACGCAACATCAGCGACCGATATTCCACTAGATTATTCACAAGAGCATTTTGGACTAAGTTTGGAGGGATCACAGTACGTCGTTCTTGATTCGCAGAGAGTTCTACTCTGCCTGCGGAATGGCAATATGTATCTAGTTGAGTTACAACTAGACGGACGACAAGTTTCCGGAATAAAAATCTATGAAGCTGGACCAACTACTTTGCCATCTTGTGCTTGTCGGATAAATGACCGCTATTTCTTTTTGGGCTCAAGGTTAGGTGATTCTTATTTGATGCAGTATAAAATAGCGCAGATGGATGGAGAGCGAATAATTGACAAATCAAAAGATCCCAATCAGACTACGAAAAGGGAAGAGATAATGGAAACAGGTAACTATTGTAAATACTATTTATTTTATTGTGAAATTAAATACGATTAAACATAATAATATATATAGATATTCACGAAGGAGCTGAATCAAAGGATAGAAGCAACAACCACGGCAAAAATAATAATAATGGTGTTCATATTCAGAGCGCAGAAAAAGAGGAAAAATCATTTAATAGCATCGATATAAAAGTGTGTGATACTCTGATCAATGTTGGACCTATTTCTGATATGGTTTATGGTGAACCGGTATATCCTGAGGTAATATTTTATTGCAAGTTTCTAGTTTAAATTGAATTTAATGTTTAACATCTATTATTTTCCAGGGATTTGATAATAGTCTACGCAAAGAACTGGAATTGGTTATGTGCTCTGGAGACGGAAAAATGGGAGCTCTTTATGTGTTTCATGTAAGAGATTAATTGCTATTTTTTCCCTCTTTATATGCATATGCATATATTTATTCGCCACGTTTGTCATCCGATTAGCGTAATATCAGTCCACGATTAATCAGCAGCTTCAGACTAGATCAATGTCAAAATATGTGGACGGTAAACTATCGTAGAGAAAATCAATTCGAAGCGATAAATATTGAGCCGGGAGAACACGTATTACAGGAAGAAGAGAATTCGTTTGATAAATATCTCTTTATGTCTCTGGATGCACGGACTATGGTTGGTTATTTTATATTATTTGCGCTGTCGCTTTCTTATCCAGTCAGACCTCTTTATAATCACGTTCTCGGAATATGAATGAGTGTACATCCTATAATAAGACATGCGTGATTATAGAGGTTGTGGCTATATAGAGTCCGACTATAGGGAGGTCGGACTGTATAATTTTCATTATGGTTTTTGACGTATTGTTTGATTGATTCTTAAAAAAAAAGGTACTAGAAATAGGCGAAAACCTACAGGAACTCGAACATCCCGAATTTTATGCGGATGGACCTTCTATCGCAGTTGGCACTTTGTTGAATGATTTACGTATTGTGCAAGTGTGTTCTGGTGGAATTTATTTATTGGATGCTGGTATTATATTCTCATATTTGTTATCCTTTTTTTTTGTTTATGAATATAATATCTATCATGCCTTTTTCCCTTTTTATTTAAACTATAAATATAGATTGTAAATTGACACAGTGTCTACCAATAGAAGAAGAAGAAGATCCTGCTAAAGAATCATCTTCATCCTCATCTTCTTCATCAATTGTATATGCGAGTATTGTGGATCCTTATGTTTTATTGTTATTTGAAAATGGAAATATTACCTTGTTTAAGATCGATGAGAAAACTAAACGTCTAGATTTTTATCCGCAGCCAGCTCAAATTAATGTTAGATATTAATTAATTAGTTTTTTTGGCATATCATTATTTCTTGTACTAATAAACTATTTGTATATTTAGGATGTTCCCATACAATCATGCTGTATTTACAAAGACGATACTGGTACATTTGCAACAATACAAGAAGTTAAAAAAATAATACCACAAAGACCAATAAAGAAGAAAAAAAGAGATGGAAAGCAAGCAAAAGAAAAAGGGGAGGAGGAAGCGAAAAAGAAGAAAGAACAAGAAGATCAGACTCAAAAGACTGCTACGAACACTTTGTCGTCATTATCTTCTTCTTTACCAATAGACATTGATGATCAAATAGATAAAGAACTTTATGGGGATGCGGAAGATCCTGCTGATCATTTACCAAGTGAAGAGGAACAACAAAAAGAAGAAGGCGGAGCGGAAGGTGAAGGACAAGAAGGAAATGATGATAATATGGATGTTGACGTTGAAAAGTGTAAACAACAAGAAACTGGTAAAGAACAATCAAAAGATGATCAAAATCAAGAACCAACTTCTTTTGTCAATATTCCGGTTAGTACTACCACTTATTGGTGTACGTTGCATAGAAATGATGGATCTTTGGAGGTAGATATTTTTGTATTTGTTTTGGATTGTTTTTGAAATGAATAATTTTTCATTCAAAGATAATCATAAATTTTTCAATAGATTTATAAATTACCAGCATTTGAACAAGTGTTTTATAGTCCACATTTTGATTTATCACCAGCTTGTTTATCAGACGCGATCATTCGACAAACATTAAAAACGCCGACATCTTCCAATGAGATCAATGAGATGAAAATGATGAATATGGGAGCAAAAATAAAACATCCATATATTATTGTAATTTATATTATATTTTCTCATTATAATTTTTAACATTGATTTAATTTTTAATGTTAAGTTCATATCAATATTTATTGTTGATAGTCACGTTCGCATACAGGCGATATTGTAATCTACCGAGCATTTAGATACATGCCCGGTGATGAACCCTCATCTGAAAATACCTCCACATTAAATACGCCTAATCTAGAAGAATACCCAACACGACTAGCACTACGATTTTCACGAGTACCTCATGAATATGTCACCCGCGAACCAATTCATAGTGATATTCACGATCAACCAGTAGATATGGATGGCTCGTCAACATCAACACATCCTGATGAAGATGATGAATACGACCCAAATAATCCAACATCATCACCTTCGTCAGTGAAAAAAGATCGGTCATTTCAATTGGTGACCTTTAATAATATAGCTGGATATGCGGGTGTATTTCTGACTGGTGTCAAACCTGCTTGGTTGATTTCCTCGGGAAGGAGCTATCTGAGATTTCATCCGATGGTTACCGATGGTGGTGTTAAATGCTTTACGCAATTTCATAATGTTAATTGTCAACATGGCTTTTTGTATTCTAATCGGAAAGTAAGTGTGTTTGTTTATTTATTTATTTATTTATTGGCTAAATTGTTGCATTGATGATTGAATATTTTATAATGTAGGATTTTTGTCGAATGTCGGAATTGCCTTCAGATTTATCATATGATATGGAATGGGCATTGAGAAAAGTTCATCTTGGTCGAACTGTGCATGAAATTGAATATCACCCAGAAATGCAAGTATATGTCATTATGACATCCAGACCTATTCCTTTCCATATACGAGATGAAAATGGTGATCCAATTGATGGAGAGCACGGTATCTTTTAAATTTAGAACATTTCTAAATTTTTTTGATATCTTTTCTAAATATCTAATTGTTATTATTACCCAAAATAGATCCTGCACATTTCTGTCCTGACACCTATCGATATTTTCTTGAATTATTATCGCCAGTTACATGGGAGACTGTTGATTAGTAAGTGGAAATGGTGATCTCGATTGATCACGATTAGAATATTAATTTTATTCTTCTATTTAGTCATGAATTCAACGAAGATGAGCAAGGACTCTGTGTCAAATGTGTAAATCTGCATACAAAATCAACAGCAAGTGGTCGAAAATCATTTGTCGCTGTAGGCACGGGATACTTTAGGGGAGAAGATGTTGGTATGAGAGGGACTGTATGTAATGCATATTTGTATCTGTATTTTATTTCAAGTTAATCGAACCTGTTAAATTAAATAATAATTGCATCATTGATTTATTATAAAAAAATACAGATATATATATTTGAAATAGTCGAAGTTGTTCCAGAGCCAGACAATCCTCAGACGAATCACAAATACAAAATGCTATGCTTTGAAGATACTAAAGGCTCGGTGACTGCGATATGTGATGTGAATGGATATTTGTTGACTTGCGTTGGACCAAAAGTAAAGCAGATCATTTGAGTTTCGTTAAATTATTTCGTAATGCAATTAGTTAAGTTATCGAAATTTTAGATTTTCATCCGTGCTTTTGAAGATAACGATCGATTGATAAGTGTCGCCTTTATCGATATCCAAATATATGTGAATAGTGTGGTGTCAATCAAGGACTTCATATTGGTGGGTGATGTGTACAAGAGTATTTGGTTTTTAGGGTTTCAGGTAAATTATTCTTTTTTCTTGTTTCGCTTTTTTTGTGAATTTTTGAAAGCAAATTTAATTGATACGTAGGAGGAACCTGCAAAGTTAGCATTACTTGGTAAAGATCCTCACGATTTGGAGGTAGTTACCGCGAACTTTATGCTCGATAAAAAGATGTTATATTTTGTTGTGTCGGATGTGGATAAGAATGTGCATTTATTTCAGTATGCTCCGTATAGTAAGTATAATAGCCACAAAATATATTTTTATTTGCTTAATCGCCTTAATTTTTTTTTCACTCCGAAAAACAAAAAATTAGACCTTCAATCATCTTCCGGCCAACGACTATTAAAACGGGGAGATTTTCATGTAGGATCCCAGGTGAAGGCGATGCTAATGATGCCTCATCGTGAAGTATCACGATCTGAAGCAGACCGAGAAAAGGATCAGGAGAATGGCCACAATGAAGATGATTATTCTGATTGGGAGGCGATAAAAAGGCTGTGTCTGTGTGGTAATATTTTGTGTAATTGTTTTGATTTTATAAGGATCTTTTATATGAATAATTTTATTTATTCTATTTCATTTAGGCACTTTGGATGGAAGTATAGGAATAATTACTCCGATCCCAGAAAGAATGTACAAACGAATGCTTCCCCTCTATTCTCAGTTAGTCAATGGGATACAACATCCAGCCGGACTTAACCCAAAAGCGTACAGGTAATTAATTCATTATTGTACTAATATTCAATATAAACTCGATCAAAATCTATTTTTCACTCGATAGAATTCTATCTATCTAAATAAATCTTTCATTTATCACACATTTAGGTTGCTCCATTCAAAACACAGATTGCGCATGAACCCTGCAAAAGGAGTACTAGATGGCGATCTTTTATTCCAGTTTCTGAATTTGTCACTGAATCGACAACGTGAAATGACGAAACAGATTGGAACTAATCTTGAAAGACTAATGGACGATTTTTTGTCGTTGCAGATTTCTTGTGATTATTTTTAAACTTAAATTCATTGCAAGAAATTAATGTATTTTTTCATTTTATTGCTTTAACCTTTCAGTTTATTACTAGATGAGGCTCTTGATGAAAAACATATTTAATGTGACAGATTAAAACGAAATCAGACTAAACTGATAAAAAGGATTAAATAATTTTTGGTGATAATTATGGAAAAGGGTTCATTATGTATGGATTCAGTATATATATAGTATAGTATTAAATTTGTTATTGATTATTTATATATTCCACTAGATTTCATTTAATCTGTCACATTTAATACTTATTCTAGTCATGTGATTATAGGATATAATACATAACATCAATTTAATATAAGTTTGAATTTTCAAATTTTACTTTGATCAAAATTAAGCATATTTAAAGAACTTTTTTGATTTTTAACCAAAAATTAATAATAGATTTGCTAATCTTTTATAATTCCAATTGAAATTATATTTTAATATAAATTTTCTTAGTTTTTGACAAATCCAATACTAAATATATTTAATTTTTCTGAAGATTTATTTTAAAAATTATAATTAAAATTATATAAAACTATTGTTACATTTATTTTCAATAATTCTGTAATTAACGAATCTTTCAAAAATAGTAGAAAATGTAAAAATCTTCAAAGATAGTAACAAAACAACAAATTGATAAAAATAATATATACATATCAATTATTTAATAATCATATAATTATTATTATTATTTATCTTTTCTACCCTTATTGTTTATCTTTTCTACCTTTTATATCTTATTTATCTAACTTTTCTATCTTTTATACTTTATTTATTTATCTTTTATATCTTTATTAACTATCTTTTCTATCTTTTATATCTTTATTAACTATTTTTTCTATTTTTTCTATCTTCATTATTTATCTTTTTTACCTTTTTCACCTCTGTTATTTATCTTTTCTACCTTTTCTATCTTCGTTATTTATCTTTTCTATTTTTTCTACCTTTATTATTTACCTTTTCTATCTTTACTACCCTTACTTTCTACATTTTCTACCTTTTTCTATTTACCTTTTCTACTTTTTATATATATCTTTTTTATAATTTTATAATGTAGATAGAACTAAAATATATTGAGAAATTTTGTATAAATAGAAGTGCTCTTCCATGTTTCAATGCTTAAACAAATTAATAAATTTTAATCTTGATACAATAAGTTAACGATCATCTTATTGTTATAAAATTAATATTTATTCTTGTATCTTCTTCCATTGAAACAAGTTGTCTGGCAAAAATAATTTGTTGATTGAACTTCAAATCTTGTAATTCAAGTCATTTTTCATAAATCTTGAGTGAGATCAAGAAATCAAATATTGATTTGTATAGAATTGAATTTCTGATTATTACTTTTGTCTTTAAATTTGGAAAAAATAGTTAAGTATTTTTGGATAAGTATATTGATTTGTTATAGCATTATTTTTGGTATAGTTGTGCATTGCAACTTTAAATAAGTAATATTAATTGTATAATTGTGCACTGTAACTTTAAATAAGTGATATTGATTTGTATAATTGTGCACTGTAACTCTAAATAGTTGATATTTTCTTTAGTTATTCATTTTATTTGGTATTGAAAGCACTAGAATATATGACTACAAATATAAAAATATCAATATTCTTTTTTAGTTAGTAATTCTTATTAGTTAATCGTCTCTTTGAACACACTCTCCCAACTCCTCTTTTCATTCTTGATAGAATTATTTAACAATTTCTGTTGAAATTGACACAGGCTTAGATACTTATTTTTATACTGATCAATTTTATTAGTCTATTCCTCTCTCCCAATTCATATGATTCTTTTACTAATAGTGAAGAAACCCTTTATTTAAAGTAACTATAGCAATATTAAAAGTTACTATATATATAAAAAATAATAAAATATAATTTTAATATATAAAATATATTGCAAAAAACAATAAAATAGAATTTAAAATTAGCAAATTTTTACATAATATTCATTTTGTTACAAGATATATTGTTAATTATCAATTTGTATTACTAATCTTAAGCAAGTCTGTCATATATCATTTGTTTAATTATATCTAATATATTATTATAACTAAAAATTTTTAATAATTTTATAATTTTTAAATTCCAATTTCAATCAGTTTATTTGTATTTTCTATCTATTTGAAAAATTTTTTTTGAAGTATACTATTTGTATGTTATTATAATTAGAAATTCCTATAATTCCTATAATTTCTATAATTTTTATAATTCCTATAATTTCCATAATTTCATAATTCTTATAATCTCTATAATTTTCATAAACTTCAAAAATTATAAAAAATTCTATAATTTTTATATTTTTCATTATTTTTATATATATATTAATTAATCAAATTTTATAAATTATCATTTTTATAGTTTTTATATAAT